TATTATTATTATTATTATTATTAAATGCTAAAGTGCTTGCATAAATACAGTTTTTTACATTTTTTCTGAAGCCTTAACCTAAAGTAATATAACTTGACTATGAAAGTCAGTATTGACAATTTCTGATTGCAGTCAGGTCTTTAGGTTTCTCATAGGGCTGGGTGATAAGGCTGAAAAATATTATCTCAATATATTAGATCACTGTATCAATATTTAATATGAATCAATATTATTATAATTTCTCTAAAATACTTTTTAAAAGTCAGCACAGACAGTCAGAATGAGTTATGGTTTTGTTTATTCACACCAATGTTTCCCAACTGGAAAACATAAAAACATTAAAAAGTGCATCTCTGTTGAACATATCACAAGTGTGTATGTAAATAATAAACACACACACACACACACACACACACACACACACACACTATATCGCTAAAAATATTGGGACATCCCACCAAATCATTGAATTCAGGTGTTCCAATCACTTCCATACCCACAGGAATATAAAAATCAAGCACCTAGGCATGCAGACTGCTTCTACAAACATTTGTGAAAGAATGGGTCACTCTCAGGAGGTCAGTGTATTCAAGCGTGGTACCGTGATAGGATGCCACCTGTGCAAAATATGTCCATTCGTGGAATTTCCTCACTACTAAATATTCCACACTCAACAGTTAGTGGTATTATAACAAAGTGGAAGCAATTGGGAACAACAGCAACTCAGCCACAAAGTGGTAGGCCATGTAAAATCACAGAGCGGGTACAACACATGCTGAGGTGCAGTGTGTAGAAATCACCAACTGTCTCCAGAATCAATAGCTACAGACCTCCAAACTTCATGTGGCCTTCAGATTAGCTGAAGAACAGTGCATAGAGAACTTTATGGAATGGGTTTCCATGGCCGAGCAGCTTCATCCAAGCCTTACGTCACCAAGTGCAATGCAAAGGTGTCGGATGCAGTGGTGTAAAGCATGCTGCCACTGGACTCTAGAGCAGTGGAAACATGTTCTCTGGAGTGATGAATCACGCTTCTCTGCCTGGAAATCTGACGGATGAGTCTGGGTTTGGCGTTTGCCAGGGGAAAAGTACTTGCCTAACTGCATTGTCCCAAGTGTAAAGTTTGGTGGAGGGGGATTATGGTGTGGGGTTGTTTTTCAGGGGTTGGGCTTGGTCCCTTAGTTCCAGTGAAAAGAACTACAGCTTTCAAAGCCATTTTGGACAATTTCATGCTCCCAACTGTGTGGAAACAGTTTGGGGATGGACCCTTGTTGTTCCAACATGACTGCACACCAGTGCACAAAGCAAGGTCCATAAGGACATGGATGAGCGAGTCTGGTGTGGAGGAACTTGACTGGCCTGCAGAGCCCTGACCTCAACCTGACAGAACACCTTTGGGATGTTTTAGAGTGGTGACTGTGAGCCAGGCTTTCTCNACAACACATGCTGAGGTGCAGTGTGCAGAAATCACCAACTGTCTTCAGAATCAATAGCTACAGACCTCCAAACTTCATGTGGCCTTCAGATTAGCTGAAGAACAGTGCATAGAGAACTTTATGGAATGGGTTTCCATGGCCGAGCAGCTTCATCCAAGCCTTACGTCACCAAGTGCAATGCAAAGGTGTCGGATGCAGTGGTGTAAAGCATGCTGCCACTGGACTCTAGAGCAGTGGAAACATGTTCTCTGGAGTGATGAATCACGCTTCTCTGCCTGGAAATCTGACGGATGAGTCTGGGTTTGGCGTTTGCCAGGGGAAAAGTACTTGCCTAACTGCATTGTCCCAAGTGTAAAGTTTGGTGGAGGGGGATTATGGTGTGGGGTTGTTTTTCAGGGGTTGGGCTTGGTCCCTTAGTTCCAGTGAAAAGAACTACAGCTTTCAAAGCCATTTTGGACAATTTCATGCTCCCAACTGTGTGGAAACAGTTTGGGGATGGACCCTTGTTGTTCCAACATGACTGCACACCAGTGCACAAAGCAAGGTCCATAAGGACATGGATGAGCGAGTCTGGTGTGGAGGAACTTGACTGGCCTGCAGAGCCCTGACCTCAACCTGACAGAACACCTTTGGGATGTTTTAGAGTGGTGACTGTGAGCCAGGCTTTCTCGTCCAACATCAGTGCCTGACCTTACAAATGCTCTCCTAGAAGAATGGTAAAAAATTCCCATAAACACACTCCTAAACCTTGTGGACAGACTTCCCAGAAGAGTTGAAGCTGTTATAGCTGTAAATGGTGGGCCAACTCTATATTAAAGTGTATGCATTAAGAATGGGATGTCATTAAAGTTCATGTGAGTGTAAAGACAGGTGTCCCAATACTTTTGGCAATATAGTGTGCATCTATATAAAAATAAACTCTTCTCAGAAAAAATACAAATTGACTAAATATCCAATTACAAATGTATAGGGACAGTGTGTGCCTCAGTGGGCTAAGCCTCTGTGACTGTGATCAGAAGGCCACTGGTTCATGCCTGCCCTTGGCATATCTCCGGGTCCTTGAACAAGGCCCTTAACCCCCAGCTCCCAGGGCACCACAATGGGTAGCTGCCCTTTGTGGCCAGCTTGCTCTCACCTACAGAGGGTAAGATTGGGGAAGTGAAAAGAGAACTTCCCCACACGGATCAATAAAACTATCTATTATTAGATTAGATTGTTCAGGTTAATGCTTATATTCAAAATAAGACATTGTATAATATTGTTTTTTTTCAGTGCTGTTTTGTTTCTCTACTGAATTGTTTCACATGACCCAAAAAAAATGTATTGCAAATTGACTAAATATTGTACATACGGAACCTCGGAAGGGACATGGAGGGAAAAAAACATCAACAGTTGGAAAAAGTGAATGTAAAAGCAATTATTTCAAATATTTAACAACTGGTTTGTTCAAAAGTTAAACATATGTCAAATAACAGCTATATAGTGCCGAGAACAAATGTATGTACCATAAACAAATGGATAAATATGTTTAAAACAAAATCAATGTATTGTATTTTGTTGCACTTTGCAATCTTTCCCTTTCTGCTGCATTTTTCTTCATGTTTCATATCTGTCCTCTTTCTGACACAGTATGGGTGGGCATGGACTTGTGGGGGTGTCTGTCACTACCTGATCCTCGATCCATACCACCTGCCTGATTTGTACTGTATCTCGCACATCTGCACATGCACAGCATTGTTAAGTATGCATACGCCACTTTACTTTTTTGGCAATGCCCGGTCTCTTTGTCCTGTCATTTTATGGCAAACCATATTGGCTACATTTACAATAAAGAAATCACTGTAACTATACATTATCAAGCCATGTTGTATGTAAAAATGCATTGAATATAAGACAAAATTTGATATACAGAACAGCCCTATGTCATAATAGACTTTTTCTTTACCTGAACACACAACTCCTACATCCTCCTTACGGACACAGCCATTCTGTCCCCACCATGCTGAAGGACAGTGCCACAGAGACATTTCAGTCCCCTTACAGTCCACCTCATCCAGCCAGATGGGCCCAGTTCCTGGATCAAAGAAGGTGGGCACTGGGTTACGGAGAGCCGTCCCACACTGGAGCTGTCTGCACACCACCTGAGCATCCTTCGGGTCCCAGGAGTCTCCACACACTGTCCCCCAGGAGCCCTGGTGGAGCACCTCCAGCCTCCCTGCACAGCCCCCAGCATCACCCACCAGCCTGATGGACCTGTGCTCTGGGGGTACAGAGAGAGGTTGTTTGTTGCTTATCTTTGATTTCATAATTGCACATCCATCCATCCATCAGTCTGTCAGTCCTGTGCTGTTTATCTATAAGACGTATTAGATTTTAAATGTGAAACGTGTTATCATTATTCTGTACTTACTGGAACACTCTATGGACACTGGTGGACCAGGCATGCAGTTAAGGCTCTGTGGATCACTACAGTTCACCAGATGAGACTCACTCCCAGAGCACTGATACCCTGTCAGACACACATCACTGTCCCCAGTCCCAGAGAGGGAGGACCTGTAAAGCCTCACTGCAGAGCCACAGCCCAGCTGCCTGCAGACCACAGAGG